GCTTGCCTGGCGCTCCTCCATCCAGGCCTTGCTCAACACCTCCAGATACCCCAGTACTTTGTCCCACTTGGCCTTATCGTCTGGTTGGGCCAGCACCTCCGCTCTACACTCCTGCACCTTTGCCACCTTTGCGGTCATCTTGTTCACTTCCTCTCTCCTCTTCTTCTTCTCTCTCTTCATCCTCGGCTTCCATGCTAACTTTTGTTCCTCCTCCCTCTCTCTTCGTTCCATCGGGTCTGTCATGGCTGCTAGCTCGGCGGCCAGCACAGCCTTCTCATCCTTAGTTACATAGGACTCTGCCTCCTCCTCTTCCCCAAACGATAAATTAGCGACCCACTCGCTGATCTTCTTCTCTAACCCTGTATCTGTTTCCCTTGTCATCGTGCCACCACTACTCCCTTCTCCACTCTCAATCCTCATCCTCTCTTTCTCTTCTTCTGCTGCCGCTTCTGCTTCAGCAGCTTTTCTTCTTTCTTCCTCCTCTTGTTGTACTTTCTTCATCTCCTCCTCCAATCTTTTCATCTTCGCCACTTGTTCATCTTCGATAGCCTTTAGCTTCGCTTGCTTCTCACGCTCTTTCCTCTCCCTACTCTCTCTGACTAAGGCAGCCATCTTTTCTTGCTGCTCCTGACTATCGGGATTAGTCTCTAACCCAGTACGGGTCTCAACCATGGTGATAGGTGCAAAATCAGGATGATTCCACTCCTCACCACGTAGACTCTAACCCCTAACTGACAAACCTATATACCTAATCTAAGACTTACAGAATCCTGACAGGGATCCTGTCAACTATGGTCTCTAGCCTAGACCTACACTATGGCTGTCACTACTGAACCAGTGGCTGATCAGGAGGCATTTAAGGAGATCCCCCGTAACTCCTGAAGAATTATTTAACGTCGCAAACAGGACGACGTGATCAGCTTGGTTCTGCCTGTGCTTTCAGCCCACAACTCGGCCTTTCCGGCCTACTGTGCCACACCGAGCAGCCCGCCGGTCTGTACCGGTCCTTGGGAGGGTTCGTATCCCCCGGGACAGTCGAGTCGTCAGACACAGATCATCAGCCTTACTTGGTCTGGTAGGGGAGTGGTTCCAACAGGCCCTCAACACTTAAAGACGGCCTCCGTTTCAGCCTGCAGCTCAGAGTTCGGACCCTCTACACTGAAACTGAGCAGACCTGCCGATCAGTACCGGTCATTGGGCTAGACGAGTTCTTTAACGAGCACTCGCCGCTCATGCCCAGGTCTCCAGATACCAGAGTAGAGATTAGTCCTACTAAGTCTCGTGCAGGTTTGGCAGCAAGGCCCTATCCTTCATCCACAGAGTTCTATGACCTAGGACAGAAGAGACTCAATGCAGAAAGAATAGACAGACAGACTGTACTCAGCAAGTACCAAGGGGTATGTGCACATCCATAGGGCAAGGGGTAGGCTAAGGGCTTGGCGAGATGTTACCAACTCCAGCTTGGTCAAAGTCTTGGTCAACACCTTGGTCAACGGCCTTGGTCAACGCTGCTATGACCCTCGGTCAACCTCGGTCAACTCCGGTCAACGCCTCCGATCAACCCTCTCGGTTGACTCCCCGGTCAGCTATGGCTGCCGGCACTTCTTCCTCGCCAATCCTCTTCTTCTTCCTTACCTCCCTCGCCTCCTCTCTCCCGCTGTCTTCTTCTTTCTCTTT